CTGACGTTTGAGCTTCAGCAAAAGATAACTCGAGTTGGAGCAGAGGCAGCGTGGTATTTGCCCAAGGTCATCATTTTTGGTCTGCACCGAGTTCTTCAGCAAGTCGGCTGAGAAAGTAGTAGCTGTTTCGCCTTCCTTTCTGAACGTATTCGCATTACGTGCCTAAAAAAACAAATTTCCCAAACCTGGAGATGCAGCGGCTGTAAAGCCATCATCCGCCAACAATAATCAACCATCCAACACACTCCTTGGCACAGCTATATGCACCAATTAACATACCCCGTCATGCGAATATTTTTCATCAATCAATCAATTCGTTGCTATACTGCTAACTAGTATCAGCTGTCCCTCGGCATGACTTAAATGATTTACTACAGGAATATGAACGACATACACAGTATGATTAAACCAATGACAACAAACACTCATGAAAAACGTTTTGATTTCATACTATAAATTGCTTTGCAGAGGTTGCCCTGCGTTCAATAAAAGGCTTTTGAAATTCTTACGGTTAAACGCACTAGTCGCAGCATGATCCGCGACGACGTACTCGCATCCGGTCATTGCGTTAATTCAAATTATCTAAAATCCATACTCGATACAAAATCATCCTGCACAGTGAACCTACGAATCGTTAAAAAAATCAAAAAAGATGTTCTCATTTATACACAGACAGTTGAATGTTGTAGAAAACTAGTTGTTTTCAATTTTACACAAGCACTTTACAGTCTTCATGGTGGACTGGTCCCTGATATATGAAACTCCGGTCTGTCAAGACTCGCTTTGTCCCCCCTCCCCCTCCCCAAATGCTGAATTGTACAAGGCTTTCTACATTATAATTTACTGCATAGCCTAAAAAATCAATTCATAAACATCACTTTCACAAGCAACTATAAAATAGCGGAAAGTCTTTCAGTAAGATCAACTTTTCTCCAAATTTCTTTCAAGAGCGAAACCTTTTTCAATCCATCTTCGAAAGATTCCCTTTTAGGATATAGCCAGAGCTTTGGTTCTAGGTCCAACATCCCACCGACGACTTCCTAAAGTACAGAATTCAAACCGTACATCCAGATTAACACTGCACTTGAATATCACCTGTCCGAACCATCTAGGGAACAAACTTTCATTTTCAATGACATGGGCAAATCCGCCTTTTGTTCCAAAATGAACAGCAAAGTACGGGAAACCTTTGGGAACCTATGAAACATTTAAAGCGAATGGTCACAACTACTGTCATCAGCCACTGAATACCGATTTTCTAAGATCTTTATCGCGAATGTCGATCAGCCTTTTGTTTTCGGCCCACTGTACGTCACTCTCGAGAATCGCTTTCTATAACGGTCATAATCAGCTTATGAGACAAAACAAATATGTCAGACCGAGAAACCTTGAAATACATTCTCGCTGATTCAGCCATGTCCAGCGGTATGGGGATGCATTCGATAAACATATGCGGCTGCTTGCGCACACTTTTCACGGTTTCGATGAACACACAGGTTTGTTCACTACGACTGCATATAGCGGCAAACTCCTCGCGCCAGACCTATATTCACACATTTTTAGGCCATTCTGAATTGGCCTTCAAAATCATAAAATAGGTCTTTTCACAACTGGTGATAGACAGATAGCAGAACATCAAGACAGTTTACTTAATCATTCTATACCCCTCGGCTCAAAGGGTTTATGACAAGAAGTACAATCATATGTCCTTTTGCTTAATTGTGTACAGCTTGATTACGTTCATCTATGTTTATTTCTTATGTAAATTAAGAAGAGACATCTGTGTTACTGTTTGCTGTGAGCATCATTTAGAGCTGTCATGATTAGTAGAATGCTCCGGTTTGCGATGCCTATTGTACCATCCCTTTTTCAACACGTTTGCTATACTGCACCAGTTACGAAACTGTGGAGGCAATAATTCCTCTCCGAATCCAGACATGCCTCAATTTTTGCACCAATGTTGCATGCCAGCCTCCTGGTCTATGACAAGACGTGGCAAAGGCACGGTCGGTTTTGGGATAAGGGATAATCCTTTAAAAAACGAAATATTTAAAAAATGCTGTAAGGACTGAAAGCTAGTGAAATTCGAATGTTTATCTACAATCTGCTGGTATCATAGTTGGAGAAAATATAACCGAAATATTTAAAATGGTCAACCTCTTGTATTTCTTTATCTGCTTGAACTTAATACTCTGCTATGTCGAATTAGTTCCTTATAACACAGACTCTTTGGCGTTAAGAGAGAGTTCCTTATAACACAGACTCTTTGGCGTTTAACTGTTATAGCCAAAATGCGGCATACATTTTGTGCTTTCAAATCTACCGTGTAGAACATAACAGTCTAATAGAACAATACCTTAAGTTCCGTGTAGGCAGCTTCTTCTAGATGCAAGGTGCTTGCAACATGAGAACAGGGAGCAAGCATACAGTACCCATCTACCAATGATACATGAGACGGAACGGTAAGGTAAATCTAAATTATGAGTGTTACATACGAAAATAAGCGAAAATTCGTCACTTACGTTTACTCCAATTGCTACAGCTAAATATTTTGGAAATTTGGAGCTACGCGTGCATAAACTGCAGGTGTCCAGCACTTGCTGACTCCGCATGTGTTCTAAATAAATGTCAGTACAAAACTTTTGTTTTAATAACCCTGTTTTCAGTTCTAACTTAGAGTACTACTACTACTATATAACTCTATTCAGAACTGCTAAGAATAAATGATTTTCAAGTGCGAGGAGTAAGACTGATTTTTTATTACGTGGTGAAAGTGTCGATCAATTTAATGTTGTTGGTTTGTCACCATTATATATCATTCATAATTACTCAACGTCAGAGTGAAATTAATAAGCAATTTAAGAAATTAAAACACTAGTTCAAAAAATCGAATTTCAAAAAAAACTTAAAAATCAATGAAATAGAAGATTCCTAACGTCTAAAAACATTCAAATTAAGCGACTGCAGTAATGCCATCTGAATATTCTAACGGTATTGAAGAAAGAGCCAATCGGCCATACAAATCTGTTTTCAAGTCTGTCAACGCACCTACACTGACGGATCATTTATGGTCATAAGTTCTGAATACTAACCGAAATAGTACGATTCCGGATACAAGAACTGAAGCAATTATGAAAAACTGCTGGTGTGAAAAAGCATGAAAAACAAAATTATGCAACACAGGAATTCGAGGAACCCTTGGATGTAAGGCGACATTTCTTGAAATCAAGAGATCAAACTGCGATCAGACAGCCAGAAAAACGACTCGCAATATGCAGCCACAGCCATAATCTAGCACCTGTCTGTCGAGCCCTCAAATCTTGAGACCGAGACCAATGAAGAAACCTGAAGCAGTTGTGTCTGCAACCTGAAAAAAATAGCGCGAGGTGAAAATTAATGAATGAAAAGTAGATTCAAAGTTACAAATGATTGTTCTTAAATTAAAAAAATTCCAAAAAGCGAGTTTCAGAACGAAGGATTTATGAAAGGTTTAATTAACAAATAGCGAATCACTGAAATAGTACCTTTTATTACCTCTGATGTACTCGAGTCACTGTCACGAGGGCGAACCTTATGTTTAACGCCGAAAGATATGTCATCAACAGTCCAGTCCTCGTCAGCTTTTACTTTCGCAGTCTATAATATATACGCATCTGATCTGCAATCTGATTAATATATATATCGTATATGACAAACTCAATAAGCAGACCGTAAAAATATAATCATTATCGAAGCAACAAACAATTAAAGATATCTCGATGTTTGTCAACACCAAATTTTTTAATTCATGCCTCAGCTCAAAAGCAAAATAAAGTCGATATTACAACTCCTTTATCAGCTATGCGAGTCAAGACACTGGTCGCATCACTAGGATACACGATATGTGAATAAATAAATGCGCGTTTTGCCCCTAAAGAGGTCATAGTTTGCCACTCACAGCTTGCAACCGACTGGACATAACTATTTCTCATGCAGCTTTAAAAGCTGAGAGTTTTCCTAAACTGGTGAAGCAATTTTTTGTTGTTTGAAGACGCTGACTAATGTCAGTTTTGTACTCATTAATTTTATCCTAGATAAAACTGAAATACTGGAGCGGTGACTAATTGCAAGTTAACGGCATCCATACTGATTTCTGGCTACTGTCACTGTTAATATCTACGTCAGGAATGCTGGTAACTGCAACCGTTGGGATCTTGGTCTGCCGTAGACATGATGGATGTGGCCTTATATGATTAGGTTATTTCTGTCGCAATCCTCACGAAATTAATGGTATAGCGCTATTTGCATGCCCATGTCATCATCCATGAGCTCTAATTTTAAAGCTCGAGTTGAGTACAACTAAGTACTAAAAATAGTGTGCAGTCTCATATTTCCTTCAAGCAAAATGGTACTAATTTACCAATCTCGCAAGGAAGAAAGTCGAGTGACCTGACCAGGGCTCGAACCCAGAACCTCTCAGTTTTGAGTCAGAGCTTTACCAACTGAGCAACCAGTGTTTGAAAGAAAAATAGCTACTGACACCGCAGAAAGCGGTCTGCTGCTCAGTTCTCGCATGAATCAGATCATGTCCAACCAAATATCCATTGTTTCGTTGAAGACACCCTTTACAATGCATAAAAACAAGTACCATTTTCGACACAGGATTGAACATTCGCAGCTGATCTTCAGCAGAAGTCAACCGCTCTTGGCGGACCAATTCCTTGACACTCGAACCTTCTTCCGCAAGATAATCTTGGTAACTCTGCAACCAAGAAACCGTAAAACATTAATGACTCGGTTTTGATGTACCTTATTTTGGCGTTGAATGTCCTGTGCCAGCACCGGAAATGACTCCCCTGTACGGACATTCGTTTTAGTCAAAATTACTTCTTCAGATGCGGCGGCACCATCGCTGACCTCGCCGCGACTCGTTTCAGAAATCAGTTTCCTGAGTTTCTTAACGGTAAGCTGAAAACAAACATGTACTGCGTTAAAAGATCATCACCCTGACTGTCTAGATAAGCAGAACGTCTATGGTTTGTGATGTCCACCGTATTTACAGCCTTACTTTTTCCATAAGACACCATTTAATACATCGCAGAAGGAAATATTCTTCTCTCAAGAACACTGTTCCTTCACGTTGCATACTTGCCACCTAGTATATGTCTATCGCGTTTCCTATCCCACATTCATGGGCTGCAGTAAGCGCTTTCTGCTCAACTAATCTCACAATGCCAACATCTTTCTGTCAATCTCCTCATCTTCTGAGATCACATATACTCGAAAGAAAATAATCATTCCTTAAGTGTTCCTGCTATTTAACATTCCTCAAGCGTAGAAACCAACCCCGTTCTACTTAGTTCAAGCGTCGTTCATGCTATTTAACTCTGGATAGCAAGAGATGATGAAGCCGATATACTTAAATTGGTCAACTTCCTGTAAGGCTTCTTATCCCTGCTCCAATTGCAGGTCAGTGGTGTCGATCAGGTTTCGGGTTTCTAAAAACATCTGACTTTCGGGAATTAAAAAAGGCCAGCTTTCGCAGTTGTGTTGCATACAGAAGCCGTCAGGTGACAGCGTCCGCTTCTCACTCATACCATTCACCACCAAGGACAATATCATCTGCGTACTCCAGGTCAGCAAATTAACTAGTACGTTATCTTCAGATGTATCCTTCATCTATAATGAAACCTTCGTCTTTGCCGGGTTCAGTTTGTTTTAGAGCAGGAAGTCGAAACAATACTGAATTGGAACATTCCATGACGATTCCACGCGCTTATTTTGGCGCCGATCGATAGTAGTTATCATGGTGCGAGTCCCGTGGCGCGAGTTTGCATATACGATTGGATTGTGGTCATTTTGCTCATTTGCAAAACACATTCACCATATCACATATCCATGTGAAGCTCTGTGTGAGCACAATGTTAAACATATCAAACTAATGAATTTCCAAGATTTCGCGTTTTATTTTTAGAGTTCATTTTTCTACCAGCGAGAACTCAGCTCACAATTCAGCGCGCATCATGCGGTCACACGTTTGACTGCCAATCAGCAGACACTCATTATTTGCATATTAATGAATAGCATCCTCTGAGAACAATAACATGACAGAGTAGACATGACAAAGAGTCTCAAGTAACTAGATGTTCCATTTGCGGTTGATGAAGATGTGACCCAGCTATCGCTAGCTTCTATCGTAGAGGAGGGGGATGTTCAGGTGGTTTGGTTAATACACTTTTGAGGAAACAGGATCCCGCTGACGATTAAGCTGCTTATCACACAAAAACTTAACATAGGCCTGCCGTTGTCATTCGCCGTCAATAACGTGAAGGCGGAGTACGTCTCACCATGTGCTGTACTCAAAAC